TTCAGTTCTAGTTCAGTTCTAGTTCAGTTCTAGTTCAGTTTTAGTTCAGTTCTAGTTCAGATCTAGTTCAGTTCTAGTTCAGTTCTAGTTCAGTTCTAGTTCAGTTCTAGTTCAGTTCTAGTTCAGTTCTAGTTCAGTTCTAGTTCAGTTCTAGTTCAGTTCTAGTTCAGTTCTAGTTCAGTTCTAGTTCAGTTCTAGTTCAGTTCTAGTTCAGTTCTAGTTCAGTTCTAGTTCAGTAGTCTAGTTCAGTTCTAGTTCAGTTCTAGTTCAGTTCAGTTCTAGTTCAGTTCTAGTTCTAGTTCTAGTTCAGTTCTAGTTCTAGTTCTAGTTCAGTTCTAGTTCTAGTTCAGTTCTAGTTCAGTTCTAGTTCAGTTCTAGTTCAGTTCTAGTTCAGTTCTAGTTCAGTTCTAGTTCAGTTCTAGTTCAGTTCTAGTTCAGTTCTAGTTCAGTTCTAGGTTCAGTTCTAGTTCAGTTCTAGTTCAGTTCTAGTTCAGTTCTAGTTCAGTTCTAGTTCAGTTCTAGTTCAGTTCTAGTTCAGTTCTAGTTCAGTTCTAGTTCAGTTCTAGTTCAGTTCTAGTTCAGTTCTAGTTCAGTTCTAGTTCAGTTCTAGTTCAGTTCTAGTTCAGTTCTAGTTCAGTTCTAGTTCAGTTCTAGTTCAGTTCTAGTTCAGTTCTAGTTCAGTTCTAGTTCAGTTCTAGTTCAGTTCTAGTTCAGTTCTAGTTCAGTTCTAGTTCAGTTCTAGTTCAGTTCTAGTTCAGTTCTAGTTCAGTTCTAGTTCAGTTCTAGTTCAGTTCTAGTTCAGTTCTAGTTCAGTTCTAGTTCAGTTCTAGTTCAGTTCTAGTTCAGTTCTAGTTCAGTTCTAGTTCAGTTCTAGTTCAGTTCTAGTTCAGTTCTAGTTTAGTTCTAGTTCAGTTCTAGTTAGCAGTTCTAGTTTAGTTCTAGTTCAGTTCTAGTTCAGTTCTAGTTCAGTTCTAGTTCAGTTCTAGTTCAGTTCTAGTTCAGTTCTATTTCAGTTCTATTTCAGTTCTAGTTCAGTTCTATTTCAGTTCTAGTTCAGTTCAGTTCTACTTCAGATCTAGTTCAGTTCCAGTTCAGTTCTAGTTCAGTTCTAGTTCAGTTCTAGTTCAGTTCTAGTTCAGTTCTAGTTCAGTTCTAGTTCAGTTCTAGTTCAGTTCTAGTTCAGTTCTAGTTCAGTTCTAGTTCAGTTCTACAGTTCTCAGTTTAGTTCAGTTCTAGTTCAGTTCTAGTTCAGTTCTAGTTCAGTTCTAGTTCAGTTCTAGTTCAGTTCTAGTTCAGTTCTAGTTCAGTTCTAGTTCAGTTCTAGTTCAGTTCTAGTTCAGTTCTAGTTCAGTTCTAGTTCAGTTCTAGTTCAGTTCTAGTTCAGTTCTAGTTCAGTTCTAGTTCAGTTCTAGTTCAGTTCTAGTTCAGTTCTAGTTCAGTTCTAGTTCAGTAGTTCAGTTCTAGTTCAGTTCTAGTTCAGTTCTAGTTCAGTTCTAGTTCAGTTCTAGTTCAGTTCTAGTTCAGTTCTAGTTCAGTTCTAGTTCAGTTCTAGTTCAGTTCTAGTTCAGTTCTAGTTCTTCAGTTCTAGTTCAGTTCTAGTTCAGTTCTAGTTCAGTTCTAGTTCAGTTCTAGTTCAGTTCTAGTTCAGTTCTAGTTCAGTTCTAGTTCAGTTCTAGTTCAGTTCTAGTTCAGTTCTAGTTCAGTTCTAGTTCAGTTCTAGTTCAGTTCTAGTTCAGTTCTAGTTCAGTTCTAGTTCAGTTCTAGTTCAGTTCTAGTTCTTCTAGTTCAGTTCTAGTTCAGTTCTAGTTCAGTTCTAGTTCAGTTCTATTTCAGTTCTAGTTCAGTTCTAGTTCAATTCTAGTTTCAGTTCAAGTTCAGTTCTAGTTTCAGTTCTAGTTTAGTTCTAGTTCAGTTCTAGTTTCAGTTCTAGTTCAGTTCTAGTTCAGTTCTAGTTCAGTTCTAGTTCAGTTCTAGTTCAGTTCTAGTTCAGTTCTAGTTCAGTTCTAGTTCAGTTCTAGTTCAGTTCTAGTTCAGTTCTAGTTCAGTTCTAGTTCAGTTCTAGTCAGTTCTAGTTCAGTTCTAGTTCAGTTCTAGTTCAGTTCTAGTTTCAGTTCTAGTTCAGTTCTAGTTCAGTTCTAGTTCAGTTCTAGTTCAGTTCTAGTTCAGTTCTAGTTCAGTTCTAGTTCAGTTCTAGTTCAGTTCTAGTTCAGTTCTAGTTCAGTTCTAGTTCAGTTCTAGTTCAGTTCTAGTTCAGTTCTAGTTCAGTTCTAGTTCAGTTCTAGTTCAGTTCTAGTTCAGTTCTAGTTCAGTTCTAGTTCAGTTCTAGTTCAGTTCTAGTTCAGTTCTAGTTCAGTTCTAGTTCAGTTCTATTTCAGTTCTAGTTCAGTTCTATTTCAGTTCTGGTTCAGTTCAGTTCTACTTCAGATCTAGTTCAGTTCCAGTTCAGTTTTTGTTACAATTTAGAAAATTTTCTATAAATTAAAATCTGGTATTTAAAATTTTCGATAAATTTTCAGTTTTTATAGAAAATTTTTCGATAAATTTGTTTTGGTGACAATTTAAAATTATTTTAAAATTTTATTTTAGAAACAGAAAGTGAGAGTTTTATGTTTTATATATTTACCTACGTATTTCCTGATCTTATTTCTAGGTCATTCTAAAATAGGAAATTTAGATTTAATCATAAACGAAAGTTTTTGCGAATTTTAATTAAGAATCATATATTACTTGTTTAAACCATTTAGATATTATTTTTGTATAAATTTTAATTTGAAAAAGCAATTTTTATTAAAATTTCAAATTTATGAAAAAAAAAACTGGTTTGAGAAAAAAGCTGCTTTGAACTTTAACATTTTCGTTTAAAATATAAAGTAGGAAATTAAAAAAGATCAATAAAAATTTTAGTTTTAAATTAAAATCCAAAAACTTTTGCTCTTTTAAATTTTATGAAATTTAACATGGAGTCTTTTAAATAGTTTTAGTATTTATTTAAAGTTAATCCTTCATTTACACTTTTTGCTCAATATGGCGATTTGTTTAGAAAAGTTTGTGTTTTAAGTCTTTTGTTTATACTGTCTTGAAAAGATTTGTTTTGCAAAAGTTTACCACTTAAGTAGGTATTTTCTGTATAACTTAAAAAATTCTCTGTAAGGCGACCAATTTACAGGAGTTAATTCTTAAGTTTTGAATTTACTTTTTTAACTAAATTAAATATTCAGTTTTAAGTTTTATTTGTTTGTTTTAAATTTGCATATTTTTAAAATTTTGACTTTTTCTTTTTTTTCGTTTTAGGTTTCAGCAACCTTAAAGAAAGTTGTAAGTATACAAGATTTTCTTAATTTACAAAATATTTTTTCAAAAGAGCGTAAATAAAAACATATTAGAATTTAAAAGTTCTTAAGCTAATTTATTAACATGTTAGTAATCAATTAAAAACAAGACAGAATAACACAAAATTCCCGACACTTGACCCTGTTATATAAAATATAGACAACATTAATAACTGTATTTATAAAAATTTCAAAAAATTAAAAATAGGTTACAGAATAAGAGATTTTTATAAAAAAATTATTATAGAAATGTTTTCAACTTTTTTGATTTTATTAAACGGCCTAACACGAGCTATTAAAATGTTGAATTTTGACACATTTTTTTCTCAAAAATATATAATTTTTTGAAAAAATTTTGGTTTTTGTAGAAATTTTAATTTTAGTTCAGTTCTAGTTCAGTTCTAGTTCTAGTTCAGTTCTAGTTCTAGTTCAGTTCTAGTTCAGTTCTAGTTCAGTTCTAGTTCAGTTCTAGTTCAGTTCTAGTTCAGTTCTAGTTCAGTTCTAGTTCAGTTCTAGTTCAGTTCTAGTTCAGTTCTAGTTCAGTTCTAGTTCAGTTCTAGTTCAGTTCTAGTTCAGTTCTAGTTCAGTTCTAGTTTCAGTTCTAGTTCAGTTCTAGTTCAGTTCTAGTTCAGTTCTAGTTCAGTTCTAGTTCAGTTCTAGTTCAGTTCTAGTTCAGTTCTAGTTCAGTTCTAGTTCAGTTCTAGTTCAGTTCTAGTTCAGTTCTAGTTCAGTTGTAGTTCGATTAATTTTCAATAAATTTTCTTTTTATAAAAAAATCGATTAATATTTTTTTTTTTTGTAAAAAATGTTCAATGTTTTTTATATAAAAATTCAATAAAATGTATTTTTAAAGAAAAATTTTCCTTTTTGAAGAAAAATTTTCGATACTTTTTTTGAAATTTTCCATAAATAATTTTTTACAAAATAATAAATTTTTTATAAATTTTATATTTTGATAGTTTTTTTTGTTTTTATAGAAATGTTCGATTAATTGTATATTTTTAGAAATTTTTTTTTTGGTTTATAGTAAAATTTCGATAGATTTAATTTAATTTAAAAAAATGATTTTTTTTTATAAAAATTCAATGAAATTTCTTTTTAAAGAAAAATTTTCTATTTCGAAAAGAAAAAAATATCGTTAATTTTTTTAAATTTTCTAAAAATTATGTTCTTTTACAAAATAATTTCTGTTTGAAGCATATTTAAAAAAAAATAGATTTTTTTTAATTAAAAAAAACATTTAATTAAATAAATTAATTAACATTTTTCCCATGTGATGTAAACATTTGTTTAATTTATTTTTATGAAGTTACATTCAAAGTTTAGAATGTCAATTTTGAATTAATGACTTTTTGTAAACAATTATATTTTTTCTAAAACTATTTAAAATTCATAAAGACTGAACATTTAAAAATATGCATTAAATTACTAATTCTTTTTATTTTTAAAATATTTTTACTCTAAACAGTTATTGAAGAACAAAAAAAAAAAAAAAAAAACAGCTAATTGCTATAAACAGACAACAAAACTCAAGACAAATTTAAAAACATTAATTGTATTTAATTATACAAAAATGAAAAAGAAAAACTCAGTTAAATTTAAAAGTCAAGGTTGTTGCCATAATTATAAATAAAACATTTTTTTTTAAATCGAAATAATTAAAAAACGTACCTTTTTTTGTATAAAATAGTATTTTAATAATAAATCCCTTTTATTTGAATTGCTGGGTTAGTGAAGTTTTCTTTTCTTGGAAAAAAATCACTTTTTTGGTAGTTTAAGAAAAAAAATTTGATTTTTTTTATGAAAAATATAAAATTTTCTTAATTTGTTTAATGTTAGTTTTTTTATTATTATAAGTTTTAGTTATAAACAAACACACAATCAATTAGTGTTAATAATTTAATCAAATTTTCTTGTGATAATTTTATTGTGGGTTTGTTGTAGTTGTATTACTTAAAATTTTCTTATCACATGGAGAACACTTTTCTTTTGTTTTTCATTATAGATTTTCTTTGTTTTTCATATATTTAACTATTTTTCGTTGCACTTATTAGAAAAAGCTTTCTTTTACTTATTTAATATTTTTTACTTTTAAAACTTTAAAACCGTTTCTTTTTTAAATTTTTTTCTAAATTAATTTTTTTATTTGTTTGGCAGTGCTCTGTCTGGCGTGCTTTGTTAACCGCTCGCCTTAAGGTGCTAAAGTAAACTAAACATGTAACGGTGTTGATCACCACAAGTTACCACCAAAAATTCACTCACTCACTCACTTGCACCAACACTAACAATAAAAACAAAATATTTCAAACTACAATGACAGCTACAAAAACAAACAAAACTTTTGCACTTTACTAAGAATAAACGAACGTTGAAAACGAAGTGTTTTTGTTTGTAAAATTTCCGAACTTTAAGCTTTAATTCAACAACAACAATAACAATATTAGGGAGTAAAAAACAAGACTTTAACAAACGACCATGGCATTTTTCTTCTTCTTCTTTATTTTTTCGGTTTATTAAGTCAAAGCATAACAAATACTCATACGCTCACATATACCAATTAAATTATAAAACTTTGCAGAGAGTAAGCTAAATTAAATCAATGAGAAACTAAAGGAGAGTCAATACTAGATTAGTAGATAGACTATTTATTGATTGGAGTCTTAAAGTGTTTGGAAATTATTTGACTAATCCATACACTAATCCTTAGATTTGTCCCTAGACTAGTTCATGTACTAATCCCTATACTAGTTCAAAGATTTGTCCATTTACTAGGCCCTAGACTAGTTCATAATCATGTTCATAAACTAGTCCCTATACCAGTCCATAAATTAGACCATAAACTTTTCCATAGGCTAGTGCCTAAAGTAGTTCCTATATTAATCCATAGTTGCTAGACTAATCCATATTTTAGTCCCTAGACAAGTCAATAGTATAATCCATAGACTGAACTAGAACTGAACTAGAACTGAACTAGAACTGAACTAGAACTGAACTAGAACTGAACTAGAACTGAACTAGAACTAGAACTGAACTAGAACTGAACTAGAACTGAATAGAACTGAACTAGAACTGAACTAGAACTGAACTAACTGAACTAGAACTGAACTAGAACTGAACTAGAACCGAACTAGAACTGAACTGAAGCTAGAACTGGAACTAGAACATAGAACTGAACTAGAACTGAACTAGAACTGAACTAGAACTGAACTAGAACTAGAATCTGAACTAGAGCTAGAACTGAACTAGAACTAGAACTGAACTAGAACTAGAACTGAACTAGAACTGAACTAGAACTAGAACTGAACTAGAACTGAGCTAGAACTTAACTAGAACTGAACTAGAACTGAACTAGAACTGACTAGGACTGAACTGGAACTGAACTAGAAGCTGAACTAGAAGTGAGCTCAGAACTGAACTAGAACTGAACTAGAACTGAACTAGAACTGAACTAGAACGAACTAGGACTGAACTAGAACTGAACTAGAACTGACTAGAACTGAACTAGAACTGAACTAGAACTGAACTAGAACTGAACTAGAACTGAACTAGAACTGAACTGAACTGAACTGGAACTGAACTAGAACTGAACTAGAACTGAACTAGAACTGAACTAGAACTGAACTAGAACTGACTAGAACTGAACTAGAACTGAACTAGAACTGAACTAGAACTGAACTAGAACTGAACTAGAACTGAACTAGAACTGAACTAGAACTGAACTAGAACTGAACTAGAACTGAACTAGAACTGAACTAGAACTGAACTAGAACTGAACTAGAAACTGAACTAGAACTGAACTGGAACTGAACTAGAACTGAACTAGAACTGAACTAGAACTGAACTAGAACTGAACTAGAACTGAACTAGAACTGAACTAGAACTGAACTAGAACTGAACTAGAATGAACTAGAAATGAACTAGAACTGAACTAGAACTGAACTAGAACTGACTAGAACTGAACTAGAACTGAACTAGAACTAGAACTGAACTAGAACTGAACTAGAACTGAACTAGAACTGAACTAGAACTGAACTAGAACTAGAACTGAACTAGAACTGAACTAGAACTGAACTAGAACTGAACTAGAACTGAACTAGAACTGAACTAGAACTGAACTAGAACTGAACTAGAACTAAACTAGACTTAGACAAAGCGATAGACTATCCCATAGACTAGAAAAGGATTAAGCCATAGATTATTCGAGAGGCTAGTTAATAGTCTGATCCATAGAGCATTCGCTAGACTAATCCCTAGACTGATTGCTAGACTGTTTCATGAAATGGTACCTAGACTAGTCCATTGTTCAGCCCACTAGACTAGATTATTTCCTAGAATTATGTATCAAATGTGTTTCCCTTAAAACTTTCCCTTAGTAAAAACAGCTAAATTGTTCACATTTTTTGTCAAAATTAAACTCTTTCTCTCTATCTCTTTAAACAAAAACCCCGTTTAAAATTTTAAACAAGACTTTAGTAAATAAAACTTTTATTTAAAATGCAATTGAGAGCAAAGCTTTTTTCATTTGCTCATTTATTTTGCATAGATATTTAATTTTTAGAGTGTGTGTTTTTGCTCACGTGCTAACAAAAAAGAACTTTTTTTTCAGTTGTTAGCCAAAATAACAATTTAGCTTATTTGGTTTAAAGTTTAAACCATTTTAGCTTGTCATCTGTTTATGTGCTCTTATATATGTTTTTGTTGTTGTTTTTATTTAAATTTAATATTTAATATTCACTTTTAAAACTTGTCCAAAATTTATTGAGATTTAAACATGTTTTATTCATATTTTAAGATGACGCATTTCTAGTTCTTTTGTGTTTCTATTTCTAAAATTCTCTCCGAAAATTTGTGATCTTACATCATTTTGTCTAAGTTTTAGTGTTAACTTTTTTTTTTGTGATCTATTCTAATTGTGGCATTAAAATGAAACTGTGTGTCTCTTTTCTGTTTAAACTTCTTTGTTTTAGTTTTTTAAGAGTTTCTAGAGTTTTATAGCGATTTTGTTGTTGGTCTCCGTTGTGGATTTTCCAGTTGGGATATTAATTAATGAAAAAAACGTTTATTTTATTTTGTTTTAAATGGATGATTTAGTTTAAAAGTATTTGGCCTTTATACATGTATTCTTTTAGCTTCATTTAATTGGGGGTGTGAATTTTGTTTTATGCAAAATTTATGTTTCAATCGAGAAAAAACTATAGAACAATCTATAGGCTGCACTATAAAACTGTCTATAGACTTGGCTATAGAACTGTCTATATTCTGGACTATGGAACTGTCTACAGTCTGGGCTATGGAACAGTCCACAGTATGGACTATAGAACTGTCTATAGTCTGGACTATAGAACTTTCTATCGTCTGGACTATAGAACTGTCTACAGTCTGGACTATGGAACTGTCTACAGTGTGGACTATACAACTGTCTATAGTCTGTGGACTATAGAACTGTCTATAGTCTGGACGATAGAACTGTCTATAGTCTGACGACAGAACTGTCTATAGTGTGGACTATAGAACCGTCTATAGTCTGGACGATAGAACTGTCTATAGTGTGGACTATAGAACCGTCTATAGTCTGGACGATAGAACTGTCTATAGTCTGGACGATAGAACTGTCTATAGTCTGGACGATAGAACTGTCTGGACGATAGAACTGTCTATAGTCTGGACGATAGAACTGTCTATAGTCTGGACTGTAGAACTGTCTATAGTCTGGACTATAAAAATGTCTATAGTGTGGACTATAGAACTGTCTATAGTGTGGACTATAGAACTGTCTATAGTGTGGACTATAGAACTGTCTATAGTCTGGACGATAGAACTGTCTATAGTCTGGACGATAGAACTGTCTATAGTCTGGACGATAGAACTGTCTATAGTCTGGACGATAGAACTGTCTATAGTCTGGACGATAGAACTGTCTATAGTCTGGACGATAGAACTGTCTATAGTCTGGACGATAGAACTGTCTATAGTCTGGACGATAGAACTGTCTATAGTCTGGACGATAGAACTGTCTATAGTCTGGACGATAGAACTGTCTATAGTCTGGACGATAGAACTGTCTATAGTCTGGATGATAGAACTGTCTATAGCCTGGACGATAGAACTGTCTATAGCCTGGACTATAGAACTGTCTATAGCCTGGACTATAGAACAATCTATAGTCTGGACTATAGAACAATCTATAGTCTGGACTATAGAACTATCTGGCCTATATGTAGATAAATCTATAGTCTGGGCAATAGATCACTCTATAGTCTTTACTATAGTTCAAGTGATCTTAGAATTGGTTAAAATAGAAATTATAAGTAAAATGACAAACTTATAATGATAATTTTTTTCAAACAAAATTACTATAATGTCTGATATAAACAGAAGTGTGAGAATTATTCCAAATTGTAGTTATTTAAATAAAAGAATAACAAACAGTCTTCTTTGCTGATTTCATTTAGATAATTATAAATTTTGTATGCGTAAAATTCATTTAAATGAATTCAAGAACTAAACCGAAAACAAACTTAAAAGAACAAACATTTATGGGCCGTGTTTTAAAGCGGATCTCATTAGAATCAAATCATTTTGTATGAAAATGTGTGTTCACATGTTGTCTATGTTTTGTTGTCTATACAAATTTCATTATTTTCCCACAATTATTGCTAAAACTTTGTTACGGTTTGTAAATGTTATCATTTTAAAGATAAAACTTAGAGCAAAAATCATAATAATATTATGTAAATTAAGCATGTAAAACAAGTAGGAAATAAATTTAGAAACAAGAAAGAAAAGCAAAATAAAAACAAAAGTCATAAATTATGGTTTAAAAGGGCTTAACAGAGATTTAAATGGTTAAACATTAAGTACAGCGAGCTTTAAATGTTTATTATGTTAAAAATCTTGTAATTATATAAATGATATTGTATGTTTGTTTGTTTTTTTGTTTTTACTCTTTCGCACTAAAAGTACCTACCGAGGAAAGCTACCCGGGGAAAGCCGGGTACAAACTGTTAGAGAAGAACACATACTTATGATTCTTAACAATAGTTAATTGAAAGCAGATGAACAAATATAATGTTAAATGTTTAAATATGAATCATAATTTAATTAATTTTTTTATGTAGACGAGAGTAGTTTTGCATGTTTTCTACTCGTCGATGTAGGTGTGTATTGTGTAAGGAAAGTGGGTTTCAAATCTTCAAATGTTGTTTTTAGAA